AGCCTACTGAGAAGAACCCTAATCGGTTGTGTGCATCTGGAGCAAGGATTGAAGGCCATTGGTGATTTTGAAGAAGTTATTGTGCAAGGAAGAGAAGGGTTTGGCTAAAGGAACAGCAAGGGAATCAAGTTCTGAGGATTGGGGACACAGAGAGTGCATTATTCAGGTAACAATTCGGATTATAATCTGCTATGTTGATGTGTGCATGGATTTAGGGTTTATGGAACCCTTTTGTGACTAGATTGATTGTTATCCTTGTTTCCCAAACGATTATAACCCTGTATTAGGACCTTTAGAGGTCCAGAATGTCCCATGCCTGTGTATTTCGGGAATTAAGAGAGGTTTTGGATTGGAATCCTTATGCCTTAGGTCAAAATGTAAATTATAGGCCTTGGGGTGTAGCATGAGCACCTAAATGAAGGCCTTACGTGTTGTACCAGCTTAAGAGGACCAAACCTATGAATGGTCGGGACAATACTGATCTCAGGAAGCAGTTTGATCGACTGCATGGCATGGACTCGCCGAGTCCAATGAACAGACTCGGCGAGTAGCTTGAAGAATAACTGGGACTCGTCGAGCTGTTCTTCAGACTCGGCGAGTGGAGTCGGGGTGGCCCCGCGATTCTTCCACGAAGAACTCGTCGAGTCAAGAGGGATACTCGACGAGTAGAAAGGGAACATCAGGATTTGGTGAGGACGTCTAGACTCGCCGAGTCGCCTTAGCACTCACCGAGTCCGGTCAAGTTGACCGTTGACCAAAGTTGACCTACATGTGATTTCTTAGGGTCAGTTGTCTTGAAAGATAAAAGTATTAATAAGGGATATATGATATTATAGGGAGTCTGTAGCTCGGCGGATCGAGTGCGAGTGATTTCAGGAGTCGCTAGCTTTCATTACCCATGAGGTGAGTCTTCTCACTATACTGTACTCGGAAGGGTTTGACTATGTGACCGAAAGGTCGGATATGATATGTGTTATAAGTGCTATAAATGGAAAGGTAATTGCTATGCGTGCTATGTATGTTTATATGGGCCGGAAGGCAATATGTTATGTGACCGAAAGGTCGGATATGATATATGATATATGTGCTATATGTGTTAGGATAATTGTATTATGTGTTGTGTATGTTTATGGGCCGGAAGGCAATATGTTATGGGCCGGAAGGCGAATATGTTATGGGCCGGAAGGCGATTATGTTACGGGTCGGAAGGCGTTGTGTTGTAGACCGGAAGGTCAGGGCCTGGAAAGGCGTATATGTCTAAGTAGTATACTGGGGAACTCACTAAGCATTTATGCTTACAGTTGTTATGTATGTGTTTCAGGTACTAGCGAGGACCGTGGGAAGGCGCCGGCGTGATGTGTACACACTGTTGTTATTTTGAGATCTTGGGGATTTTATGATTGTATTTTGATATGAAACTTGGAATAATTATATTTAGTTGAATAAAATCACTTTATTTTAAATGAAAATTTTGTTTGAAAATTTGCGTTGTTACACTATTCCTGTTCGTTCCCAAGGAGGAAACAAGTATACTCTGGTGGTTGTGGATGAGTTTACTCGATTTACATGGGTGGTTTTCTTGAAGAGAAAAGGTCATGCTGCACAGGAAATCATCTCACTACTTTGTCAAAACGAGACACTGACTGGTCTCAAAGTTAAGCAGCTAAGGAGTGATCATGGCACTGAGTTCCAGAATTCAACTCTTGAAGAATTTTGTGATTATAAAGGCATTGGGCAGAACTTTTCAGCTCCTCGCTCACCTCAACAAAACGGAGTTGCTGAATCAAGAAATCGAACACGGATTGAGGCAGGAAGGACCTTAATGATTCATGCTGGTCTTCCTATGTCGTTTTGGGCTGAAGCTGTTAATACAGCATGTTATACTCAGAATCGATCTCTAATTCAGAGGGTTCACAAGAAGACACCATATGAGATGCTGAAAGGTCGAAAGCCGGACGTATCCTTCTTTCACGTGTTTGGATGCATTTGTTATATTCTTAATCAGCACAATCCCAGATCAATATTTGAGCCTAAGGCAGACAAAGGTATTTTTGTTGGATATTCATCTATTTCAAAGGCTTTTCGTGTTTTTCATGTGAACAGGCAGCGCATTGAAGAATCCATTCATGTAAAGTTTGATGAAGAATCATACATTGATGAAAAAGTAGCTCATTCCTCCTCTTTGTTTCAAGAGCTTCTCTCTTGCCCATATGATGAAGTTTCTCATACTGAAGAAGAAGCTATTATTCCCCATCCTATCGTTCCAGATTCAAATTCTGTAAATCAGGATACTGCTATCAGCTCAACAACTCATTTGTCCGATGCTGATGAAACCCTTGAGACTGAAGATTCTCCTGCAACTGATGTTCCTTTTAGCAATAACACCTTAGTGTCAAATTCACTAGAATCAGCTTCTGGACATCGAGATCACCTTGTTGATCAAATTATTGGGAATCTTCATGATGGTGTCCGAACCAGATCTCGTGTATCTAATAATTTTTGCATGTATGTTAATTTCGTTTCGATGATTTTACCTGACAAGATACACTCAGCTCTTTAAGACGCTAATTGGATTAAATCCATGCAAGACGAGCTGAACGAGTTCGAAAGGCACAAGGTTTGGACCCTTGTTCCCAGACCATCAGGAAAGACCATCACCAGAACACGCTGGGCCTACCGCAACAAGGTTGATAAATATGGTATTATTACTCATAACAAAGCAAGGCTTGTTGCTCAGGGGTTCACTCAAATTGAATCCATCGACTACGGGGAGACTTTTTCTCCAGTTGCCCGCATTGAAGCAATCAGACTGTTTCTCGCATATGCATCATACATGAACCTCATTGTCTACCAAATGGATGTCAAAACGGCATTTCTTCATGGTGAGTTACAAGAAGAAGTATTTCTCAAATAGCCCCCAGGCTTTGAAGACAAAGAGCACCCTGACTATGTGTACCGACTAGATAAAGCTGTATATGGACTGAAGCAAGCTCCTAGGGCCTGGTATGAGACACTGACATCATATCTTCTTGAAAATGGCTACAGAAGAGGAGCAATTGACAATACTCTCTTCATCAAACAGAAAGGCTCAGAAATGATTCTTGTTCAAATCTATGTCAATGACATCATCTTTGGATCTCCAAATGAGAAGCTGATCAAAGAATTTGTTGAGATCATGTCTCAAAGGATCGAAATGAGCATGATGGGGAAGATGACTTTCTTCTTAGGTCTTGAGGTTCAGCAACAAAAATCAGGTATTTCAATTTGTCAAAGTAAATATATTGCTGACATGCTAGTTAAGTACTCTCTTAGCGACTGCAAACCAGCTTCTACTCCGGTGTCCAAGACTGATAAGCTACACGCTGATCCCACCGACACTGATATTAATCACTCTCTTTATCGAGGAATGATTGGATCTCTTCTCTACCTCACTGCAAGCCACCCTGATATCATGTTTGGAACCATTCTCGGTGCTAGATTCCAAGCTAATACCAAGGAATCTCATCTCATTGCAGTCAAACGCATCTTTCGTTACTTAAAGGCCACTCAGAACTTGGCACTGTGGTACACTCGTGACTCAGCGCTTGAACTCCTTGGATACACTGATTCCGACTATGCAGGATGCAACTTAGACAAGAAGAGCACGACAGGTGGATGTCATTTCCTTGGAAATCGACTAATCAGTTGGTCCAGCAAGAAACAAACCTCAGTAGCTATCTCCACTGCAGAAGCTGAGTATGTTGCAGCTGGGAGATGTTGTGCTCAAATCTTATGGATTCAAAATCAACTTTTAGACTATGGGCTTAAATTCACAAAGACTCCTATATACTGTGATAACACCAGTGCCATTCATATCACACAGAATCATGTTCAACACTCAAAGACAAAGCATATCGAGATCAGACATCACTTCATGAGAGACAATGTTGAGAAGGGCAAGGTTGTTCTAAAACATGTCAAGACTTCCGATCAACTAGCTGATATTTTCACCAAGGCATTGGATACTTAAACTAATGCTCATATTATTGGTGAACTTCGAATGATCATTTTGGATTGGAAATGTTTCACTAATGTTTGCTATTGTCTTATAAACAAATTTTTTTTGCTGATGATGACGTGCTAATGATGTTTAGCATGCTGAGTACATTGTATGATTTCTTATCTATATCTCTTCTACAAATCTTCTAAACTAAAGGTGAATGATTCACTGTATTAAACCATACACTGATAACAACTTGAAACTCTTTGCTGATGGTTAGACAAAACACCAAGTTCTATCACACGCAACTATCCTCTCTTACCAATCTTACACTGATTTTGTGATTCAGTGTGACAAAACACATGCTGATGAGAATCTAACAGTCTTTGCCAATGGTTAGACCAAAACACCAAGGTCTATCACACGCAACTATCCCCTCTTACCAATCTTACACTGATTCTGTGATTCAGTGTGCCAAAACACATGCTGATGAGAATCTAACAATCTTTGCCGATGGTTAGACCAAAACACCAAGGTCTATCACATGCAAAAAACGTCTCTTCACCTTTTTCTCACTCAGTGTCTAATGATTCAGTAAGAAATACCACTCACTGATAAAGACTCGACACTCTGTGCCAATGGTTAGATAATTAAAACAATATCTATCACACGCACCAATCACCTTGCTAACCCTAAACAAGCAAGTTGTACCTTGAATTGATGACAAACTATCTTTCAGCATGTTACTTTTCGTGACAATGATATCAGCGCTTCCGCAGACACTGATTGTAGTTTCCTCTTTAGTACAACAGCTCTTTTTACCCAACGACTATTTTTTTGATTTGACAGTCTGTCAAGATACGCATTTATTTTCGATAAAGATAATCATTACCTTTTTTAAACGTTTCATCCCCTATTTAAACCTTTTCACCTCTTCCCCAAACCTTCTCACCTTCCTCCAAACTTCTCTCTCTCTCTCTCTCTCTTATAAAAAAAAACCCTAGAATCCTAAATTTCTTCAATGGCGGCATCACTGTTCACTTTCTCCTCCACTTCAAGAAGAGTCGTCCCAGCTCCAAACTCTCCTCCTCTTCCCATATACATCAAATCCACAAATGTCGTTTTCAACCCTGATATACCAGATGTTCATCGCGGCCTCGGACTTGATGATTTTGTCAATTTCTTGGTCTCCTGCCGACTTCGATACGCCATCAGTGAGGTTCCATCAGAGTTCTTTCCCGAACAAGTATGTGAGTTCTACTACACTGCAACGGTTAATGATGAAAACAACATCATCTCTAGAACTATTGGGCGTGGACGACACTCAGTTTTTATCACTGCTGATCTCCTCAGCGTTGCGCTCCGGTTACCAATTTTTGAGCCATTCTCTGAGCTTCCAACAATTGAACGCTGTCGACGCCTCTTTGATAAACTAGGCTATGATCACTCGAAGGCTGGTGCTCGATCAGCTCTCATTCTGCGTCAATGTATGACTCCAGGATTGAAGTTCTTCACCGGGGCACTGTGCAAATGTGTGGGTCACAAATCTCGCAGTGGTGATCAACTGAATATTTATGAGCAACAAGTTGTATGTTCCCTTCTTCTCAACAAACGTCTTGATTATGGGGCTTTCTTCTTTGATCAGCTTGTCCAACTTCTTCGTGCCAATGTACGCGCTGATCATGTCCCCTTTCCACGCTGGATTGCTCTTGTCCTGAATAAAATTTTCACTGAAGCCTACTACTCCCACTCTAGAAACCCTATCCAATGCCCACGCATGTCAGTACGAATGTATTAGGATGATCCAACAGAAAATGACATCGGCATCTCTGATTGAATGAGAGAATGGATCGCAAATCCATATATTGTTCCTTCACTAGCCACTGATACTGATGAAGGACCTGATGGTAACAACGAAACTCATGCTGATCAACATGCTGAAACGCAGGATGGTGGTCATCTCTCCCCTCAACTTTCTCATCATACTCTTTCTGTCACTGAAAGGGTTCACTCAACTCAAGGGGAGCACCAATCTCAGGGGGAGCAACCATCTCAGTGGGAGCATCCTTCTCCGGGGGAGCAACATCACTCACAAGACCTTCCAGGTACTCAGTTCATTCAACTCCCTACCTCAACATTTAATAAGCTTCTTACACTGACTCGCGACATGAGTCAGAGTCTTCTACGAATTGAGGCTGATGTCCACCAACTGAAAGGAGTTCTTTTGTCAACTCCTTCCCCTGGCCCAATCCATGATGATGATCAAAAAGGGGGAGAAACAACTGATTCTGTTGAGCTTGGATCTGAAGATAACATTTTAAATCAGATCGAGCCATCACAGCCTGTGCATGAGTCCGATAAAATAGCAGAAACTGAAAAGCCTACCGACGAGTCTGATAAACCAGCAGGTACTGAAAAGCTTGCTGAAGATAGTGAGCATGATGATGATGAGTGTCAGATGCTGGACATGAACTTCATTAATCCCACTATTCCAGTTCAAGGAGAAGCTTCAGATGATGATGAATATGAACATGATGATGAGTGTCTGATGCTAGACATGAACTTTATTGATCCCATTGTGCCAGTTTAGGGAGAAGACTCAGATGTAGCTAGCGAGGATCTTCAATCTCTATCTCGCAAGCGCAAGGCAGCAGATACTGAACTGGCTGTTTCACATACTAATACTTCTCTTCCTAGCAAGAAACCTAAGTCCATTGTCAGCATATCCAATTTGGCATCTGAATGGAACATGTATCCTGATCAAGTTAAGCAAATTCTTGATGAAGCCAATAAAGCTCAGCTTCTAAAGAATATTGCTCAAGCTGATGAATCTCTCATTCAGCATAAACTTCAGGCCAAAGGATCCTTTGAAGCTCAAATGCAAAAGCTTTTTGAATATCAGTCCAAATCTAAATCTTCATAGCCTCCTCCCAGTAGCAGTAAGTCAAGAACTGATAGTCTTCTCGACAGGATTGATCGCAAAAGGTTTCAAGATGTTCTTAAACGAAGAGTGAGCAGTGATAAGATCATCAAAGTTAAAGCCTCAAAACCTCGTAACGAGAAAATTCTTACTTTGTTGATCACTCGTCAAGGTCTTCAACATCCATACACCGAAGTTGTCAAGAGAGATGAGCTGATCAAATACGGTACTCTGAATGGATGGAATTGCTCGAATTAGCATCCAAGAAAACTTCAGCTCTCTCTTCAGAACTGACTTGTGCTCTTCATTTACTGATCAAGAAAGTTCAGCGTCTGGATCTTGTTCCTACACAGCGTCCTCAGCAGCAAGGCCAAAGTTCCTCAATTCCAAGAATCAGAAGAACTAGATTTCAAGTTGATAGTGAAGATGTATTAGTTCTGAATTTTGGTGCTGAAGGAATATACAACTCTCTTCCTATCGGTGTTGAGCTTGTTCAACATAAGTTCATCTCTGTTCCTGAACATGGAATGTTTTAACTTGTTAAAAACAGGAAAATGTGCTTTCAGCGCACTACAGAAATTCCAAGAGCTCCAACAGATCATTTTGTTGGTTTAAGACAAATGTGCATGAGTCATCAAGATCTCTCTGGAGAGTTTCACATACTGATTGCTATGGAGTTACTGAATAGAAGACAGGAGTTGCTGGATAGTCCTTACTGGCCAGTGAAAGTAGAAGCTGAAGCTGAGTATGAAGAATTTATGTCCAGAGGTGTTGTAGTATAGCTGTTTTTGAACACCATCATATTGGGGGAGATTGTAAGGTCGAACCTTATAATATGATGATGTATGAAACTGATCACTCAGCATCAGCATGTAATCCAGCGTCATCTTACAAATTGTTCAGTGTATATTTTTATACTTAATATTTTGTAACAGTTTTAGTCTTTATGTTGTTTCCATAGTTATCGTTTATTAGTTAGCTGGAATATCCCTGATTTGTAGGGATTATCTATAATAGTTCTATATAGTCTTTTGTACAAGTTTGTGAGACGCAAGTCTTTCACAAACCCTAATAGCCGCTTTGTGCACACCATAATCTCTTTGTGAGATTATCATTCTTAGTGAAATTTCTTCGTGAAAGTTCATTGTTCTTATTGATAGTCATTGTTTGATAAATTGTTTGATCTAAGGTTCTTTCACCCTCTAAGCCTTGTAACTCAACCTAGGAACTACCATTACATGCTTTAGACCACAAAACAATTAAGAATCAAGGGTGAAAGTGAGTTCACGGCCAAGGAAGTTCTTGGGCCGTGAACTCCATATTTATGTGCCAAAATGCCCTAAAAACCTTCCTTAAGGCAAGAGACTAATTTAGACATGTACCCTAAAGTGCTTATAGCCTAAAAAACAAAAGGAATCACAAGGATAAAGGAGTTTACGGCCAAGACAAGTTCTTGGGCCGTAAACCCCTATAAATGGTACAAATGACACCCTAACTCCTTCCTTATGCCAAGAACCCAACATAGATCATATCCTTGAATTGTTAGGAACCTCAAAACATCAAATGGTACTCCTTACCATGAGTTTATGGCCATAAACTCATGGGGGAGTGGTCCTAGGGACGTGAACATCATGCAAGGACATTTTAAGGCCATAAACCCACCCAAACACTTGTTTAAGCCTTGACGCACTTCACCACTTAAGTTGTAATATTGTTAAGCTTCAGTTAGGGTCCCTATACAAAGTTTACGGCCAGGAGTTTACACCCTTGGGCCGTAAACTCCAACACACTTGGTCTATTGACCATAAACTCCCATAAGAGGTCTTGCACTCCTTTGTTGCAACCCTTTAGCCTCCTAGCACTTGACCAAAGTGTTTTCCTTGCATTAGGATATTTATACATGTTTAATTAGTGTTATAATGACTAATTGTTTATATACATATGTCTTAATATGTAATTAGTACCATTGCGTGTGTCTAAAGTCTTCACTTGACACCTAGCAGTCCTACCTCTTCAGTTCATCCGTATCACCCACAACAGGTGAGTTCATACCCCTTAATCAATGTTTTAACTGTTTTTAAATGTTTTATGGGGGGGGGGGGATACAAGTAGATTTATGCTAATTATTATATCAATCACATGTGATTAATAACCAACATTTAAATGATTGGCTACTCATTAGCCATTTTACTAAACAGTTTACTTCAAAGGTTTTTCATAAACACTTTATGTGTTTAAAACTCCTTACACTGTACATTTTACTCTATATGTTTAAACCCATTTACAATTAAGTTTCAAACAAATTTTTCTTTATACTAAACTGTTTTATCAAACCCATGCCTTCAAACCGTTTTCTAGATTGACAACAAGTCAATCTTTTCTTAGATAATAATTATGTTCAAAGGTTTTACAAAACTTACTTTATGATTTTATATTATAAATTGCATGCCTATACATGTATATTTATATAAGGAATGTTTAAAAGACTTAGGAAGGCTATCCACCCTATTTCCTTTTCGCTCTTGAGATGTGGTCTGGTGGGATATCGGGTACCCATCCAAATGTCGTTTAAATATTAGTTATATATCATGTGTACATATATAGTCATAAAGGTCCTTCCAATTCATCCAATGCCCTTGGGTAGCAAGGTATACATCCCATCCATATGTACTCGTTAGATTACTAGTAAACTACTGTAGGGGTAGTTTAGGAAAACTATTACTAGAACGCGATATCATACAATGAGTCAGTTCATTCATGAGTCAATACTTGCTAGATAAAGAGAGAACACGCATTACAACTAGTACATGCAGAACATTACTTTACTATTACATAGATATGTTTACATGATTACACTTACATGAGTATAATTACATGATTACACTTACATGAGTACAATTACATAATCCCACTTACATGAGTACGCTTACATATACATAGGACAGACGTCACTAGGTGCTATAGCATGGAACCAGTTCAGGATCTACCTATACCGATGAATCACAACGCAATTTTGATAGTTATATCGAGTATACATGATCATAGTAATGTGCATGCTCACGGCTTGCATACATGCAGGCATCGTGGGTAGGTCTCAAAATCCCTTTAACAGGGGAGCGTATAGCCTGGGATCTAGACATCACATTATACCTTATCCCTCAAATAAGGCAGTTGAGTACCGATGTAGTTATTTATTTCAAATGCTATAGTACTTAGAAGCATTACCCTAGACTTAAGGTAATTGGTACAGCTGTAGTTCGGTACTACACCATAGTACTATTTCATTTTCCCATTACATTCACTTCGTGAACACACACACGATGCACGACAATGTAGAAACTATATTTTTGGTTAATGATATTCATACTTGGGAATGTACACACTCTTACAAGAGACATACACAAACACTAGATACCTTGGTAGAAGGCTACATATAGATTAGTTAAGTCTTGGTCGAAGACTCCCTGTTATAAAAGTAGGAATCATAGGGATTTATAGGTTTTTTGAAGTGTTTAAAGTTGTTTTACAAACATTTTCAATACTTACAAATCATATACATACAAATTCTTACATAGAAATTAAGCCACTAAAATACTTATGATCTCACCAGCTTTAAAGCTGATACTCTCTTTCAAAATAACTTGTATCCTCAGGTCAAACATAGACAGGTACCGATGCATGGTTTAGAGATTATGGAGCTCGTTCAAGACTCATCTTTCATTTTGATTTATGCTTTAGTATTTATCAAAATTTGACAGAACACATTTGTATAATAATTATATTATTAATGCAATGGATGATGTCGTTTCTTGTTTACTACTTTTCATTGTTGTGATACTGTACATGACGTCCTCTGCCCCAGAACGTTTCCGCCATTC